AAAATATTTTATAATGTTAATTAATTAAAATTAATTTTAATATAGATCTTAGAATAATTGTTATAAGAGTTAATAATTTAATCATATATAATTATATTATTAATAAAAGATTCATTTTTATTTATCATTTTATCCTTATAATTATTTTTAAATTATTTTTTTCTTTTCAATTTTTAAAAAAAATTATCCTTATAAATTATACTTACTCAAAAAATTATTATTAATTGCTTACATTTATTTTTTATTTTTTAAAAATATATAGAGATACGATATATATATTTTTTTATACTGATAATTAATAAAGATGATACGTTTTTTTTTGTACATATTATAATTATTTTATCCTATAACTTTTACAATACTGTTTTTTAATGTAATTTTTATTCTCTCTCTTTTTTTTATCTATTTCTTTGTAAATTTATTTTTTAAAATATTTCACATCCTTTAAATAATTATTTAAAATTGTTTATATTTTTAATTCTTAATTACACATATTTTTAATATCAATTATTTTTATTAATTATATTTTTTTTACATAAAATACATGAAAGCATGAAATTATTTTTTTTAAGCTACTGATACATAATAATTTTTGTAATTTATAAGAGCTTAAAGTGTTTTTACATTATTCATGCATATATTTTTCTCATGATTTTTAAAAAAAAAATTTAAGGAGTAATAAATTATTTTGAATTTTCATATTATAAATTAGAATATATAATTTAAAAATAATTATATCATTTTATAATATTTTGATTAATTTTTCTGCATAATTTTTATGAGATTTGTTAAATGTATTTTGTATTTATAATATTAAATATATTACTTTTTAATTCAATACTCTCTTAATAAGATAATGAGAAAATTTGTTGGAGGAATTGTAAAAGAATATAAAAACCACTGTTTGAAGAATTGAACTCCCATTATTTTTTTATTTGTTTAATTAGAAATTTTAATATCTTATCAAATTACTTTTTTTAATCTTTTATTTAATTAAATCAATTTAATTTCTTCATCATTAAGAAGTGTATTTTAATCCATTAATTTTTAAAAATATATATTCTTATCATATCTATTTAATTTAGATTAATGATGTTATTTTATTGTTTATGCAGTAATATATGTTATATTTATTTATGTGACATGGAAAAGAAGTTAACTTTGTTGGTATAAATTTGATAAAGTAAAATAAAAAAGAGCAACGTCAGTCGGTGGTTAGTCACTGTTAAAATTAATAATTATATTTAAAATTTATTTAATAAATATTTTAAATATATAATTTATATTTTAAATTTATAATGAGTAATTTATACTGTGATATATACAATTATTTTAAACAATAAATAAAAATAAAAATTAAATATAAAATTAAAAGAATTCTTAAAAAAATTATAAAAATATGCTTACACAATATAAATTTTTTTTATATATATAAATGTTGATGTAATCTTTTATTTTATATTATTATAGTGAAATTATTATTTATCATAAAAGCGAGTCATTTAATTTATTATTTATTACTAAAAAAATCTCAATATCTTTTAAAAAAAATATCAATACTAAAAATCATGATTTAAACTGTTTATTATAAATAAAATATTTTTAATGCATATTTACTTGTTTTTATTTAATAACATACGTGACTTTTTATTTGATAATTAATCATATATGACTTTTTATTTTTATATTATTATAGTCATATTAATCTTTAGGCTAAAAACCTATTTTAGTCTCTTATAATAATTGTTTGTTTTAATTTAGTCCCATTTTTATTTTTTGTCTTAATTTGGTCTCTAATAAATTAATTGGTTGCCAGACTTCCGTCCAAATTATTTAGACGGAGTTTACTGTTAGCCACGTTGATGCTACGTGGATGCCACGTGAAAGCTACGTAGCTGTCACGTGGATGTCAAATTTTTGTCATGCATCTGGAACAAGAACGGCCCGTTCTGAAACTAGAACGGCCTGTTCTGGTTTCACTCTTCGTGCGTTAATTTTGCATCCAGAACGGGCCGTTTCAGATGCAAAATTAACACACCAAGAGTGAAACCAGAACCGGCCGTTCCAATTTCAAAACGGGTCATTCTGGTTCCAGAATGTCACACATGCAGTTACTGATTATATCCATAAATTTTAGATCGTGATGACAATACTTATTCATATATTTGTAATATTAAAAATTTTATATATAATTTTTTTAATTATAAATATATATTATAGTTATTTTTTACAAGTTTTTATATCTACAATTATGATTAAGGATGAAAATAAACTAGGTCAGATTATGTTATATTATAATTTAACAGATTTAAACCTAATTTTGTTAAAAATACATGTTATAAATATTATATATTTATCTGTCATAGACATTTTTTAAAATGTTTGGTTACATAGCAATCTTAAAAACTTACTTAATAATAATTTAACACTAATAAAAACATATAAATAAACAAGTTAAATCTTATAAAAATTAAGTTTAATTTATTTATCATATAAAGATGTTTTTAATATGTGATATAAATTTTTACAAGGCTTAAATATGTTTTTAGTCCCTTAAATTTAGGATAAATCTATTTTTGATTCCTCAAATTTAAAATTATTGTTTTTAGTCCCTGTAATTTCAAAAAATCTTAATTTAGTCCTTATATTCAAATTTTATTAAGAAATTTATCAAACATTATTGCATAAAATCTACTTATTGGTGTCCCTATTAGTGAAAATATCACATTAAATCTGGTTGATATTGCATAACTGTCTTAATTAGTCGCTTTCAAATATATTATTGGTGACCTAAGGGACTAAAACAAGATTTTTGAAAATTACACGGATAAAAACAACAGTTTTAAATTTGAGTGACCAAAAACAAATTTATCTTAAATTTGAGGGACTAAAAACATATTTAAGCCTTTTTACAATTTTTTTTATCAACATAAATAATAAATAGAAAGTACAAAAGTTTGACAAATATCACATAAATGAATAACTCCTCGAAATTTATATTTTATACATATGAAAATTTAAATATATATATATATATATTAGAATATAATTTTTATTTTTTAAAATATATTATTTTTTAGATAAAAAAATTTTGTGTATGTGTAAATGGTTTGCTTTCGATTTTTGAACCATACTAGTGCACTATGTTGGTTGGCGTTCTGGAACGACCCGTTCTGAATCCAGAACGGTCCGTTTTGGAATCCAGAACGACCCGTTCTTATCTCAGAACGGCCCGTTCTGCTGCACGCGTTGGTGTTAAATAATGCATCTGGAACGGGTCGTTTCAGATGCAAAATTTACACACCATGAGTGCAACCGGAACGGGCCGTTCTGGTACCAGATGCATGACAAAATTTGACGTCCACGTGGCATGTACGTAGCTTCCACGTGGCATCTACGTAGCTTCCACGTGGCATCTACGTAGCTTCCACGTGGCCAACAGTTAACTCCGTCTAAATAATTTGGACGGAAGTCCGACATTGCAACCAATTAATTTATTAGGGACCAAATTGAGACCAAAAATAAAAATGGGACTAAATTGAAACAAACAATTATTATAAGGAACTAAAATACTATTTTAGCCTAATCTTTATTACAAAGCGAGTCAAAAGCTTGTTAAAACAAAAATGAGAATTTATATATTATTAATTAAATTATATTTTGTTTCTATGAAATCGAATTCAAAATTTTGATCTTTAATTTCTAATTTTATAATTTCAGTTTTTCAATTATTTAAAATTATAGTTTTAGTTTTATCACTAAACATTTATTATTGATTGTTAAAATTATAATATTAATCATATGTGATATTAAGTAAATAATTTAATAATATTTATATTAAATTAAATTTTTTATTTTCATATTTATTGCATAAGTGATAATATAATTCAAGATGTTATTAAATACTATTATATTATCTGCTTAATGTAATTTTAACGATTAATGTAAAATATTTGATTATTAGATCAAGATTACAATTTTTTTTTAAAAATAAAAATAAAAATCACCAATTCAAAACACATATTAAATATTACAGAAAAAAGTAATTTAGCATATATTATTTTACTTTTATAATTATTTAATATTTATTACTTGAAATGATTCAAAATAGTATGATTTTATTAATTAGTATTTCATTTCGTGTAATAACATAATAAATATTTTTTTAAATAAAAAATTATAATAAATAAATATTTTTAAACTTATGATAAATAATGTATATTTAAATATAAAATTATTTTTAATTGTTAATATTTTAAAATATAAAAGTTAAATTTAATTTAAAATAAAGATAAATATATATATATATATATAACGTGATAAAAAAATTAAACTATTTATCATAGTTTATATATATTGTGAAAGGACTAATAGCTATTTATTAACCAAGTTTGACTATATATATATATACTAATAATAAACACTTTTTCATGTTTTTTTTTTAAAAAAAATTTCTTCATTTTATCTTTAACAATCATAGGTAACTTTTAATAATTTTATAAATTATATGATAAATTTATTTATTTTTCTTCTTCAAGTACAATTTTTGTTTTTCACTAATATAATATAATATAATATAAAAGTGGAGTGTCCCAATGTAACGTACGCAAAATATTTTGGTATCTAAAAATGGGATAGGAAAGTAATTAAAGTTGGTGCCAATTTAAGAAGACAGATACTTTTTTACTTTTTGTATCTGAAATAAACATAAGTAGAACTAGGATGTGTTTCTCTTGTTACGTGTCCAGAAAATGCTTAAACACTTGTCACAATCTGAGTTAAAGTAGCAATTTTGTGTATGACACGGCACACAAAGTAACGCGCAAAGAGAGAGAGATAGTACACATACACAGTACTGCCTCTGCACTGCACAAGTTTCACACACACTTTCTCATTTTATTACTGCATTTGGACTTCTTCTCTCTGCACTATCCTCTCTCTGAACTTTCTAGAGCACATAGAGAGAAAACTCAGGTGGGTTTATTCACTTTATTAGTATTCTTCCATTTTCTTTCTGTTTTTTAATCACTGTCAATATTTGAATTTTCTAGGGTATTTTTGAGATATTACTGATCTCTTTTCTTGTTATTGGTAGCATGGTTTTGTTTTGATTCAGCTTCTAATGTTGATTTTGTATTTTTTTTTTGTACACTGTGGGGTTCTTATGTTGTAGAATGATAATGTTTTTTTCTTCATCATTTTTTTTTTCTGTATGCATAAGCATAAGAAGGGTTTGGAGCTATTGTAGCAATCTTTCTCAATGGTCATTGCCCCTGAAAAAACACTTTTTTTTTTTTACCTTTTGCATTTGGGGTTGATGCATTGAAGTAAACATCGCTTGGGGTTATTTCAAAACTTTACCTTTGAATTTGATATACATCCGTGTGACATGTTCGTCAAAGTATAAATCTTTTTCTCGTATGAAAATGGGTATGTTGTGTTATAATGGTTTAAATTGTCTCTGGATATTGTTGATTGGTTAATTTTTGAGTCTGTGTTTGATTATTTATGTGAGCAAATGTGTTTTACTTTTTCAGTTGGTGTATTGAGATAATGCTGAGGAAGAGGAGCAGATCAATCCAGAAAGATCAAGAGCACACTGGCCAAATGGCAAGCTCTGATACCAATCATGAGTCCTATTCTCAGTCTCATGTTTTGGGGAGCAATGCCAAAAGCAACTCAATTTTCAATGCCCCTCTTCTGTTTGTGGGAATGGGTCCTAAGGGCTTGTTGGATTCTGATTCAGTCAAGAGCCCCACTTCCCCACTTGATTTTTCATTCCTTTCAAATCTAAGTAACCCCTTTAGAACCCCAAGTTCATTGTCCAATGAGGGACAACAAAGGAGCTGGGACTGTGCCAAAGTAGGTCTAAGTATTATAGATTCTTTGGAAGAATGTTCCAAGTTTTCTGGGAAAATTCTCCAGGCCTCAGAGAGTAAGAAGACTAGTCTCAGACCCCAAATGATTACTAAATCCCCAAGCTGTAAATCCTATGTGGATTCTCCTATGGCTTCTAAATCTTTACCTAAAGATTTTTGTAAGATTCCTTGTGCTCAAAATGGTTCTTTTTTACACAAGGATGAGTCCAGTGTTCTTTTTGAGATTGGAGAGACCCTACTAGAAAATGAGTCCTTTTGTAAAACTGTGTCTTCTTCATTGGACTCATACAGTCCAATTAAAAATATGTCTGTTTTAACTGGTTCCAAATTTGATTCTAACTCTGAGAATTTTGCTTTGAACCATATAAGCTTTTCTCCTCATTTTATTGGAAAAAGCCAAAACAAAAACTCTTTGCTACCTGCAGAATTGAATACAAACCGTGTAGCTGCAGCATCTTCTGATGAATTTATGAATTCTCTATCAGCTAGTGAAATTGAACTCTCTGAGGATTACACCTGTGTAATTTCCCATGGTCCTAATCCGAAAACAACCCATATTTTCTGTGACTGCATTTTGGAAACTCATGCTAATGATTTTAAAAGTAATTGTAAGAAAGAAGAGGAGGGTAAGGGGTTGCCCATTTTCAATCTTAACATGTTGAATACTCACAACCAGTATCCTTCTGATGATTTCTTAAGTTTCTGTTACCATTGCAGCAAGAAATTGGAAGAGGGGAAAGATATTTACATATACAGGTAGATTAGCACCATTGCATCTCTTCTGTTTTAAGTTGAAGTTCTTTTAGTGGGTAGAATGTGATTCTAATGTTGACTTCCTTTGATAACATGCAGAGGTGAAAAATCATTTTGCAGTGTTAGCTGCCGAGAAATAGAGATGATGATTGATGAAGAGTTAGAGAGTTTCAATTCATCAGTTGAAAACTCTCCAAAGTGGAAATTTGGAGGGGAACTTTTTGAAACATAGAGACTTTTCCTGCCATTGAAACCTAGTCCATGAAGCAAGCATATGCAGCCGATCATCTGTTCTAAAAGAGCTGTTTTTGTTAACATCTATTGGCAGCCATGGATGATTGTTTTGTACATCACTGCGTTTGCTGTTTGTTTTTCAGCTTTCATGGTCTTTGGTGGATCATGGCTCTCTACAGCTACTAGATTTGATTTCCATATATAACAACATATTTGTATGGTATGACAATATAGATAGGTTAAGCTTAATTTTTCATACAAAAATATCAAGGGTTTAGCTCATTTTTCTTGGCTTGCCCCTTGTTGAAGTTGCTTTGGTATATCTATACTATGTCAAGAATCAGTGTATGCCAATTCAAACAGTTTTTGACTTGAAGATTATACTACTATTTGTAGTTCATATGACATTGTGTCCTTTGTTTTGGATTGTTAATTGAAAATTTAATTATTTGGTCTGTTTTGCATTCTGTACTGATTTCAACAGTAATTCTTACATGTACTAGCCTTTAGTACATTTTTATTTGAATGAGTTGCAACTTTTAAACATGACATCCTCTAGAAACAGGAATACTGTTCCTTGTCTTTGAGATTTTGAATGTGTGATGCTTAATATTGCTCCAATATTCTAAAGCTCATGTCTCTTATGATCCATATTTTTGTAATGTTTCTTTTATTACTTTCCTTGTCTGTTGGGATGGGGATAGTGATTACTGATTAGAGAAGTTGGTGGCGATACTTGACTTTGGACTTGATAGTTTTAAAGTTGGATAAAATTGATTTATAGAATTAATTTTAAAGTTTTGAATACAACTAAAATGTGTTTGAATCAAGACCCAAATGCTTATTAGAACCATTGCAATAACTAGTTGACCCAAGTGTGGCTAGTTTGATGCAAGCCTCTTAGGAAAAATTACTTCAGGTTTTCTCAAATGAAATTTACACCACCAAATTTTAAATAAACATTCATCTTCCTTATTTTTTAATTAAGTGAAAGCTTTCTCATTCTGCAAGATAACAAACTTAAATTTATTAATTAGACGCCCACAAGTTTCTGTTTTTTATATATGTTGTAAAAAAAAGTTAATGTGCACCCTTGACCCCAATGATTCCTAACAGATCTCCGTGTATGATTAGTAAAGTTTTTGATTTTGTTTTCTTTTTGTGTATTTATATTTTCACATAACATATTAGTGATTTTGGGGGAAACAATTGGTATTCGAGTCATATATAGATAAAGAATAATACTAAATATAAAAGGACTATGCTTTGATACTATCTTAGTCTGGGGATAGATTGAGAGCTGAGTATATTTTAAAAGCATCTATAAACTTAAAGTAAAATAAAAATACCAAATTGGTTATTTAATAAGATGAGAGAAAAAGAAAGGATTTTGAATCAATTTTAAACAAATATTGGCACAGGACATGAAAAGACGCAAAAAAAAAAAAAAACATGCCCAAAATACCACTAAACTTTAGGTAAACTGAAGGCAAATACAAGTTTTTGGTTTGATGCAGGGAAATAATTGTTCTTGAAATACAATTACTCTTTGGTCTTCCAATTAAGATATATTTGAAAATGATAAAGCAAGACTAATTGTAAATAAATAATATATTTAATTTTAATTTTAATACATTTGATGTTAGTTTATTATGTTTTGCTTTTGACACCTGTTAGTTTATTATGTTAACAATTACTGTATTTAGACATACATAATGTTCTTTTACAAAGTTATTAAACTTTTTATTAGTTGATTATTTCTTTTGTTTTGCATTAAAGATATCATTTAGATAATCAAAGTTTAATTTCATTAATAAAATGAATTTTATCTTTCTTAATAAAGTATTTGCAATACATATAATAAAGAATTGAGTTTTTGATAATATATTTAAATAACATAATTATTTATCGAGTGCGATAGACTTTATCGATAATATAATACTTTTAATTATATGTAATGAATAACTTTTATAATAATTAATGAGTAGACATTTGATTTGATCTCTAAAAGATGGTTAGGACGATTGATAAGTCTCTAAAAGATTTTTGTGATATCTAGGTTTCTAAATTTTAATTGTATTATGCAAGTTAATCCTTCGTTATACTTAATTTTTAACTATGTTAATTTTTTGAACAGTTAACAATTAAGTATCAAGTTGACACTTATTATCTCTTCCATTCTTCTTTCTCTTAATTAGCTAATATGGATCATAATATAAGGTTTTGGTACTTAATTTTTAATAAATAATGGACACTTTATCATGTTTGAATATTTTGGTCATGTGTGTTTTGAAGGATTTCTTATGGTTGGTTTTTTCTATGTTAGTCATTCTTAATTTCTTAATTTCTTAACTAAAGGTTTAGGATTTTAAACTCTAAATTATTAAGTTTGGAGTTTAGCAAAATGAGTGGCTAATCTGAAAGATCTCAAATAAGGATGCGTCAATCGAATATAGGTGCTTTTACTATATGAATTGAAAAACTCTCCTTGTAGATTTGGGGAAGAGCTTATTGACAATGAGGGTGTGTAAGAAGAAATAGATCATTCAAACGTCAGTTTAGTTATTTTTAAATTAAATTAAAAATTAAACTTTATTTTGCTATGTGTTTAAATCAACTTGGTTTATAATTGTTGCATGTTAATTAGGAGAAAGAACGCATATCAATGTGATAATTACTATTGATTGATCATAAGACTAACATGATTAGTAATTGACTATATAATGAAATGATTAACTTGTATAATGGAGAAAATTTAGAGATTCTTATGCCACAAATAATCTTTCAAGGACCTATCAATTACTTCTACCATCTTTTAGAAATCAAATTAGGTATTTAGTTAATAATTAATTATAATCATAAAATTTGCATATTGAATTTGATCGATGCATATACCAAAACTTAAAATAATAAAAGAAAATTCATACAAACAAGATATACATTTCTTCTTATCAAAGTCAATGACTTAACTCTCTTTCTCTCATTTCTCTCCCTTATTTACTCGCATTCAATAATAAAGTTAAATGCAATCAATCTTCATTACATCATCCATAGTTACCGCATTTATCTCATCTCAATTAAATTTGAATAAAAAAGATAACTTCTTGCCTAAGTGGTGACTCTTTCTTCTTTGAACCAATGAGATAAATTGTCATTTTAGATATCTTATTAAGTCAAAAGTCGATCTTGAATCTCTCAAACTTTCAAGTTTTAATAACAAATAAAACGTTTTTACAAGAGAAAATATTTTTGCAAAATACAAAACAAACGAAGCATAAAAAGCAAATCAATAGATAAAAGATATATCATCAGACAAAGCATATAGTTTGACTTCATAAGGTCTTATATGCATAGCATTTATAATGAATAACAACTACTTGTCGCATATTTAATTTGATTCCTTAACAAATCGAACTAAGAAAACTCGTTGGAACTCATAAATTTATTAATGAATGAACCCATGCTTTGTACGAGAAACAAGGACAAACGAATCCCTGAAATCATAAAAAAAGTCAGCAAAAGTCGATGCAAAACCTGCTTCTCACTAACACATGTCATAGATAGTCTGTTTGGTATCCTAAAATTGATAAGTAACTTCCTTGATCAAATAAGAAGTGTCAATCTGGTGAAACACAATTAATGCAAGCATTTAATTCATCAACAAACACTTCTCACCTCAAGGAACTTGCAACAAAGATAGACAAAGTAATCTTGTGAGGAACCCTCAAGGTTTTGCAATGTTTTGCAATGGTCATCTTCATTCAGATTACTATATAAGAAGCTTCACAGTCAGAAAGAACAAGAGACTTCCTAATGAACCTTTGAAGAAATAGTTTTAGAAGGAATTTTTAACATTTTTTATGTAAAAGCTCTTTGTATTTAAACTGTTGTATCACGTCTTGATTGGAAGATGAAACAACTTGTAAACCTTAGTAACTCTAAGTTATTAGGTTTAAGCCTAGAGAGGTTTGTCTGTAAAAGAATACTTGTTTGAGCCTAAAGAAGTTTATTTATAAAAGAGTACTTATTGTTTGAGTTTGGAGAGGCTTGATTGTAAAAGAATATTCGGTGTTGAAGTCTCGAGAGGCTTTGTGTGAAAAGAATACTTGGGTAGATTACCTGAAGAGGCAATTCAAAAAAACACTTAGGTTTGAGCCAGGAGTGACTTGTTGAAAGAATACTTGTATCTTGTTTAAGATAGTGGAACTCAGTCTAGTTGGATTGAGAACTGAATGTAGTCTTGATGGTTGAGACGAACTAGTTTAAAAATACCATGTGTTTTGTCAGTTTCTTCTCCAACACTCTTTACTACTAGAATTACTACTTTATTATTTGAAAAAATGTGAGTTTTTGATCAACACTATTCAATTCCCCTTTTAGTGTCTATCTTTTCTTCATGTATCTCTATATGCATGTCATGTAAGGATTATCCTATGCTTGTTCTTACTTTTATGTTCTTTTATCAAATTGATTACCACATTTTCATTTTCTTTTTGGTCTAAAACAGCTAGAGGCCTAATCTACTAGGCTATTTCAACCCAAAAGGTTGCACCAACCTAAGTTGTATGGGTTGATCAAAACCAAGATGTAAAATTCTTAATATGTACTCATGAATAATATACTAAATTCGTCATCTTGATACATGAAGATGAAGTAATATTATCTAGGGATGGAAAAATGGGTTGTGACCCGTGGGTCGGCCTGTTGGCCCGCCAAAAATTGGAAGGCCAGACACATCATTTCAACTCGCCAAACCAACCAACCCGTTGGGCCAAATGGCAGGTTGGCCCGTCACAACCCACCAACCCGCATAAGTAATTGGACTTCAGTTGCTTGCATAAGTAATGAGCTTGTTTTGTGGACTATAAAAAAATTTAGATTATTAGTAATTTGTAAGTTTATAATTTGGTTTTGCTTTTGGTGTAAGTGGACTAATTTCTATTTGATTTTGTTCTAAGTTTGTAATTTGCTTTTGTTGAACATATATTATGTACAATATATATGCATTTTTAATTTCATATGGTTATATTTATTTATTTGTAGCAGTTTTTTTTTTATTTGAACATAAAATATATTTTTTTCCATTTTTTTTGTGGAATGCGAGCTGGCCCGCCGATCCCCCGACCCGTCCTTAGGCGGGGCGGGGCCAGCATTATCAACCTGCTTTTCATTGATGGGCCGGGCTGGCCCAGCGTATTTTTGGCAGGCCATTGGAATATGATTCTGATAAGTGTGTCGTCCATCCTCAACGATCATATTATGAAATATGATATATGCATAAATTATATTCTTCATGGTATGAGCATCCCAAAAACGTGATGGACCACGTATAATTGCAAATCGCAATTGAAGCACGCCAAATGCATGTTCTACATCCTTTCTGGTTGACTCTTGTCATTTTGTAAATAATTTTCACTTCTCCCCTTGTGGAATTGAAATGGTCTTTAGAAATGTGGCATATTCT